GAGAGAAAAATGGTAAAAGAGGCAGGAAGGCAATAGCTTGAATAAAGAATGGATGTGGTTAATCAAAACCACAATAAGGCTTCAGTCAGCCAAGGAAGCAGAATGAGGAACATAGAGGAGAGTGAAAAAGTGGAACAAAATGAAGAAGACAGTGTGATAAACTACATCTTGATAATGGGAAAAAAGTCATGGACATAGACACCTGACAACTAAGAAAGGATGAGACCAAGAATCCTTCAATGAGCAGGCTGGTAACAAAGGTAGAAAGATGGTGCACAGAATTACTTCCTGGAGAAAATGGGTGGTGGAAGGACCAATGACAATAGACACACCATCAAAAGTGATAGACAAATACAGTGGAAGAACAAGAAGAAAGTGATGAGAATAACACCACAGTAGTGGAAAGTCTGGACCAACGGGTGAAAGACTGGGCAAATCCTATGGGTGGGGGTGTAGGGAGAAAAGTGAGAGTGTGTGAACCAAGAAAGAAACATGATAATGGCAAGAAGAAGAGGGGTTTGATTAACAAGCATATCAAGGACAAGGTGGTCAGAGAAGCATCAATAAAAGGGCTCAAGAAGGATAGCAGTATGTAAATCCAGAGTTCTAAAGGATGAGATGAATAAGGTAGTAGGTATAAAGAAACAGATAAAACCAGATCTGGAAGAGAAAAATTACAGCCAGAACCATAAAAAGAGGTATAGAGGACTGTAAGAGAGGAAGCTCAGAGTAGAAAGGGTGACAAATTGTCCAACCAAAAGTAAACCCCACAGAAGATCTGTGGGTTCCAGAGGCTATTCCACTGATAGAATATGGGCTGGCCAAGACAGATGGCTCACCAACAAGAAGGAAGCTCCCAGCAAAGTATTTAAACAGGTACAGAAGTACATAGGAGTCACTAGGGTGGTTAGAACAAGGAAAGGCCATGGAACATATTGGGTGGAACATGACCACGTGAACCACCAGTAGGAGCAGGAATGTTAACCTGCCCAACAAATAGAGAGAAGGTCGAGCATGCTGATGAAGAGTGGATACTAGTCCAATATATGAACATTGGAAGACCTGCCTCCATAAAAAACGTACCTTAATCCGTAACAGAAGCATCAAAGATTGAGGAGATCTGTTTTGAAAGGTTGTAAGGGAATGTAGAAAATAGGATGGACATGGTCCAGTGACTCTAACAATTCCTAGAAGAGAGGCTCACAAAAGATGGCAAAGAACCCCAAGAAAGAAAACCCAGGGCCCATAAGGTAAGTGTAGGACATACATGAGTGTTTCAAAAATACCATAGATGGGGTTGGAAAGAGAGAAGGGAAATGGGAAGAAAGACAAAGAGGAGGAGTGAGAGAAGTGACTAAGGTGGGGAAATGGAAAATGACAGAAAAGTGAGACCAACAGCTGGAGGAGAGAAAGGTACACACAGAATCATACATGTGTGTTGTCACATACAAGAAGAGGTACAAACGAAACTACTGGTAGGGGCTAAACAAGAAAAGGAGGATGGCCTGGAAACTGAAATGAAGACTAATCTAGACCAGAAATATGAATAAAGGGCAAGTTTGAGAAAGGGTAAGAAATGTGGAAATAGATTGTTTGTTTGTTTGTAATTAACCACAAAGCTACACAATGGGCTATCTGTGCTCTGTCCACCACGGGTATCGAAACCCGGATTCTAGCATTGTAAGTCTGCAGATATACCGCTGCACCACTGGGAGGCCCTGGATACAGAAGTTGTATATTACCAGACTAAACCACCAGGGGGAAAAGAACACCAAAGAAGATATCTGGGCAAGAAAGGGAGCCACACAAATAATAAGAACATAAAAAGAGGGAAGAAGTACAGTAAAGAGGAATGTAACCTGACCCAATGATCCTGACAGCAGGGGAACAATGTATGGAGGGATAGAGCAAAAGTGGAATAAACCAGACAGAGCAGAGAACAAATGTCCACTGAAGCTATCAAAAGTGCCACAGATAAAAGATGGACATAGAAGAGGGAATACAGAAAGGCAGAAAGAAAAATGCAAAAAACATGTGGAACAAGGAAAGGAGAAACGTTGTACATTTGCTGTTATATTAAAGTTTTTCTTCATTACCCATTCAAGCCATCTCCAGCCATTATTAGTCTCAAAGTGGGTTCCTCGTCATCGAATATGAAAAGGAAAGGAGAAAGAAAGTAAAGGTCCTGATTCTTAAGCTTGTCAGATATGAACCAATGATAGGGAATCAAGAAAAGGAAGTGGGAGAAAGGTCTCTAGTTGAGAAAGGGTCCCAATGAATGAAAAGACAATAACAGAGTTCTGAAAGGAGGAAGTGAGAGACAGATAGCAATAAATGGTCCAGATAGGACATTGGAGTCTGTCCAGGTTAGGACAATCATAGAGATGGAATACAGAAGGAAAAGATATGGGGAAAAAGGTGTGACCACCTTCCCTTGCAGCAGAAGCCTCAGGAAGGAAGGACTGGTAAGGGTAAAAAAGAAGATAAGTGCAGTGGTAAAGAGTATGGAGAGAATCTATGGCATAGTTGGCAGAGTGATGGCTTCAACAGGCAAGAAGGAAAGAAGTTTGAGAGAGAGATGATATAGACAGCAAGTGGCAAGAGGTTCAAGTGTCTCAGGTCAGAAAGTGAATAACACCATTCAGGTCCTAGTTAGGCAATGCAAATGGACAAGCTGGTCTATGGATAAGGAAGGAATGGAATAGGATGGTAAGGACAGCTGAAGAAAAAATTCTGCAGTACTAGAAAAAGTGGAATGTGGTAGATAGCAACATCCAATAACCCGCAATGATAAAGACCAGACAATTGTAAGGTAGGTTTACCAGGGGGGAATGGTGAAGGATAGACCAATGGTGATAAGCATCCTATTTACATTGGAATACAGAAGAGGTGGAAGAGAAACAAGAGTGGGACAGAAAGAAAGCCAAATCATTGGACAGTCCAGATTCATAAGTAAGAACTCGGCAAATACTATACATAAAGATAAAGGGATTAAAGAGGCATGTACAGTTGGATTAGAAGGGATGGAATGTTGGAAAGAGAAAGGACAGCTTGGATGATTGAAGGAGGAGTATTGGGTTGGGCAGGCTAGTATGGGGTGTCCTGACTCAGTACAAGGATCCAAGGTAGGAGGTACAGAGAAGGATATGCATAAAGAAACGGGACCAATCATGACTGAGGGCATCAACACCTGGAATTGAGGGGTGAGATACCTGAGACTAGAAGAGAGGAAGTTTCAAGTTGGAGCAAATCCAATGGAAGATTTGAAGATGGGGGGATGCAGACTTGTCGAGAAAGACAGCCCATGACAACATTCAGTGTGCCCAGAACATAATAAGCTATTAAACTCATCTAACTGGAATGTGCCCAGGAGAGGACGTCCAATGTCTGGATTAGGTACCCCCTTGGCAGTTGATATAAGACATGACTCTAGAAATGTCCAAGTGGATCATCACGAAATGATTCAGAAGGAGGTGAAAGAAATGGCTCATACCCAACAGACAGCAAACAGTTCGAGGACTTTGATATGTAGAAAATGCTCTTCCAGGGTCCAAGAGCCCAAAGTCAGTTGTTCAGAGACACACCCCAACCAGAGAGAGGAGCATCTGTGAAGAGGTGAAGGTCCAGTTTAGGAGGAAGTAAAGGAACACTAGAGGTGATGTTGGAGTGGTCTAGCAAGATCTTCCAGTAAAGAAGGAGGGAGGAGGATCAGTGAAGACAGTGGATCCTGAAAATGTTCCATAAAGCCCACTGTGAGGGATGCATATGTGCATGGCCAAGTGGAATGAGAGGTTCCAAAGAAGTCATGGTCCCTAACATAGATAAATCCTCTAGTGCAGAATGTGAAGGCAAAGTACAAACTTTGGTGACCAGATGCTTGAGGTACCATAAGCAAACTGGAGAAGGTTGGATATAGCTGATGTGAGAGTTGAAGCGAATCTCCAGATGAATGATTCTGCCTGGGAATTGGTGAGGAGAGGCCAACCGTCCAAGTAGAAATGGAATCACAGACCAAGGCTGTGAAGATGTTGAGCTAAGGTTCACATAATGCAACTGAACACAAAAGAGGTCAACACTATTCCAAACAGATGGGCATGGAATTGGAAAATATGATCCTTGTGGACGAATTGGAGAAAATGTTGTGAGGAAGGGGCAGTCAAAATGTGACGAAAAGCATCCAACACATTGACTTTGGTCATCTACAGGTGAGGCTGGAAAGATCAATGGAGAAAGGAAAAAAATAACCCATCAGAAATTTTAGAACAACTAAGAAACAACTGATGGAGACAAGGTCGATAACTGTGTGCCAGTCTCTGAGAGTTTTGGGGGCAGCAAAGAAGCAGGAGTAATAACCCAGAAAGAAGTCATGAACCCTCTCAATAGCCTGTTTCTCTAACAAATCCAACTCTCACCCACCTGCCCACCTACAGAATTTGAAGGTAAGCAGAATTGGATAGGTGTCAAAAAGCAACAGGTTGGGATATAAGGTGGGAAGAAAAAAAGTTATATCATGGTATGATAAAATTTCTCTCTCGCTATTGTTGTTTACACAAAAGATGTAAATCATCCCATTATAGTATATTTAAATAATTTCAATAGACTGTATTTCTGAAAAAAAATTTAGGAGTCTTACAAAATATTTCACCTTATTGTTCTGCAGATGAAACATAAACTCATAAATTTTCTAAGCCACACTTTGCTAGAATTCCTATTTTAAATACATCTGAAAACAAATAAACATGCGATATATACTTCTAGTAAAGGGACATTAGTTCACATGTTGCGAGTCTTATCTTTTTCATAGTCAACATATGCACATAACATTTTATTTTATGAAAATACGTTGAGATGAACTGTTACTTTTTTGGTACAGTGATGGTCTAAATTGTCCTATAACAAATTAAAGCTTACTGTTAATAATTTGAAAGAATGGTTATACTCAACACTTGATTTAGTACTGATTTTAGAAAGAAACTTAACTAGATAAGAAAAATACCTACTGTGTGTTTAGATTTGAATTTTCTGCTGACCAACCTTCCATAATTTCTTCATCATAAAGTAGAGACAAACACTTATGACACTTCGAGCAAGAAGTCATGGTGATTTCTAGGGCAATTTTGTTACCTGGGTAAGCAACATCCAACACAGAGTCAAAATGGCCACTCCCTATCTCAAATAGTTGACTTGCATATGTTGAAGCACTCCCTGAATTGAATATTAATATGGATAACTGAAAAGTGTTTGCACTGTGCATCTTTCTCATTATATAATGTTTTAACTCTCTGAACATGAGCTGTTATTTTGACAAACCTTGTAACCACCATGTAACTATGAAACAATACATAATATAACTCTGAATGTATTAAGTGTATCTTCACAAAATTTAGTAAATATCATACGTCTGTTGTACACAAAAAATCAAGTTCTTTAATAAAGGTTTGGCTGTGAATTATGAAGCCTTTACTGAATCAGTCTGAGTGAAAGGTGATTTTCTTGCTAATAACAAAAATATTTCTTTTCATCTTACAGTTTTCACATTTCATTTGCATAACTTCCAGACTCCTAAATAAATATCAAGTCTTTTATCAGTAAACTTTTATACTTATCTGTTATTTTTCAATTGTAACACTAAATGTAGTGAAATCAGAAATGTTGGGTAAAATGAAAACTTGAAAATACAAAGTAAACATAAAATGCCTTTTTTTTCATTCTAGAACGACTGCATGTTGTAACAGATAGCTACACATTTTTTATTATTGTAGCTAAAGATAACAGACTTTTCAAATCTGAGTTAATTTAGTTTTGTTGCTCTACAACTGCACTTAGACCCTCTTACAGTATATCAAAAGCCAGATGGCTTAAACAAACAACTGAGTTACAAGCAACCCACAAATGAATTACAATCATGCAATGGGATTTGCATGTGCTACAACAATGAGTATCATCAGAACTTTTTAAATTTGTTTTTTAATTTAAATTTTCTTATCTAATCATAGAAGTTTAGAATTATTATATTTTGGTGACTTCTTTTATAGCAATAAATAAGAAATCAACTTAAAAAACAAGAAATTTAGTATTTACACACCTGGACTTGTGCTTTTTGCTGTTGACAGAAGAAGCACTGTAGGCCTACTTTTTTGTAACAATGTTGATGGCCCAAAATAAAGTTTATTTCATATATCCAATTTATAACATAAAAAATATCACACACACAAAATAAAAGGTCCTAAAACTACTATAATTTAACTGGCTTAATAGCTAAGCATTACATAGGTTAAAAAATTCTTGGGACAAAATTCAGCTTTCAAATGTGCATTCCCTTTGAAAATTATTCACATCCCATTAAAATTTGTTATACTTCCACATGTAGGTCTATTTAAGCCCTTTTTATATGAAAATTACAAAATCAGTCTTGTTACTGTTGTGAAACACAATTTACATAATAAATTTGCATAAATAGTTGTGATGACAAAATCTATGATTAAAATTAAAATGAAGTATTACAATGTTTAAAAAAAAAAAATAATATAAATTATCTAACCTATCTGACATGCTTCAGATCATAATGTAACAACTATCTAGAACATGAAGATCAAATTATTATGATTCAAAATATACAAGTAAATATGATGATAATTCCAGCTGAAGAAACATGTTCCCTGCATTCTTCACACAAACATTAAGCCAAACTAGAAATTAAAAGTAACTACAAATTATGGGCCTTAAAGCATGATTTTTACACATCAGATTTCATCATAAGCAATTTCCATCCTTTTGCAGAGATCAAAATATCAACCTACAGCTTGAAAGAATTATTTGAAAATAATATTCTATATACTTCACAAGAAACAGCTTAAACAGTATATAAATTCTCATAAATAAAACCATTATCTAAAAAAACACTATCATATAAACTTTATAAAACATCAGACAACTGATCTTATACATTTTATAAGAAAACATATTACTTTCATATTATTTATTTCTTTACAAAATAAAGTGCAAAATTTATTGAATTTTATACATAGTATACTAACAATACACTATCCTAGCTATATGAAAAAAAATGTCATATAAGGATTTTTACTGTAGAACACATAAATCACACAATCTGTAAAGTTATTTGACTTTTTGTGTTAAAATAAATGACTGAGAAAACTACACACAAACTGAAATTGACCAAACAACTTACCCGAAAGATGTAATCCTCCATTTCCACAGGAGGTGCAGTTTCCAACATCACCAGATTTTTCCATAAAAATGTCTTCAAGCACATTATCATTTCTAGAACTGTGATTCAAGTAGTCAGTGCTACATCGTTGACACTCTGATGTAGTACTTGAATGATCATCATCATATATGGTAAACCTATCCAATGCATATGGTTCTGGTTGAGATCCAAAGCCATCTATTGGATACAGATAACAACAAAATTCAATTGCAAAGGGCAAGTCTTATTATATTCAGTAATTCCAAAAGTAATGTAAAGCTTGTCTTAAATTTTAAATATGATACTTACGATAAGCACACACAACAGCCCACGTTCCATTATTACATCATAAAATTTAAGACTTAATTCATCTATGCTGATTATAAGTGTATTGTAAGCACAAGCTACACAATGAGCTATCTGTGCTCTGCCCATCATGGGTATCAGAACTGAATTTTTAGATTTGTAAGTCCTTAAACTGAACTCTGGACCACCACTGGATATTGATTATAAGTAGAAAAACCATTTCTTTATTTCATAAAAATTACATTTCACATATCCTTAAAAACAACTTTAAGCAAAAATCTAAAATTGTTCATATTACATACACAGTTTCTCAGATTGAAACTAAAGAAGTATATAAATCAACTGTATTATTTTAATGTTAATGAAATTACTCTTCTTCTAATAATATTCATTAGCATTTATACCAAACAGCAGATGGCAGTAGTTTATATTAGATTAATTAGTTCCAGAATTCTAAGTTCACAACAATGCTAACATTACACTAGTTAATTCCAAAATAATTTTTAAATAAAAAAATTTACATTCCATTAACACTAGATTGTAAGAGCACTATTTTCTGCTTCTTTAGACATTGTCACAAGCTGTAGCCAGTACATTTGTATAAAAAAACTATTACTGAATGTAACACGGATGTTTATACAAAGATTAATTATTACTGGATGTAGCCACAATATTTATATGACACATATATATACAGTCAGCATATTTAAACAAAATCGTTTTACTTGATTTCAATAAACTGCCAGTGGATATAACTACTATATTATTACTAAAAGAATTACTGAATGTAGCCACTGTTTATATAGATCACTGGATGTAATAATAATAATATTTTTGTATATTTACATTCTATTATTATGCAAAAAAATCTATGCTTATAGGAAGATTATCACTGAATATAGTTGCTATATTTATATTAACATAAAAATATATCACTGGATGTAGCCCACATATTTCTATGTGTAGCTACATAAAGCTTGCATATTTCTAGAATTATCACTGGATGCAGCTAATATAATTTAATAAAACACTATCACAAAAATAGGGCAGGATAAGCTAATGGTATCAGAAATGGAAAGGTTTTGCTAAGATTTGTTTTGAAAGTCAAGTAAAGACATATTAAAGCGATCCCACTAGACAGGTGAAACAAACTCTTTTAGCCTACAGTATTATTTCAGGTAATGTTTATACATTTCCCTATACTGTTTTGTGATTTTCACTCATTTTTTAACTTGAACAACTTATGTATATATTGGGCTAAACAGCCAGGTCAGAGACCCCTATGGTTCAGACATGGCTGTTCCACATTTAGAACTGCAGATGAGAGGGAAGACAACCAATCGACAGTAACCACTGTTTGATGTGGGTACTCTTAACTGAATAGCAGAATTGACTGTCACTCTTATGACACAAACCCCAGCTGAAAGTGCAAAGCATGTTTAGTAACATCGTGTCTTGAAACCGGAACCCTTGGATCCCCAATCCACTACACTAGTCTACTTAGCCATGTTTGTTTCTTGACTAAGGCAGTGGGAGCAATGTATCTGAATATGAACATACTACAAGAAAAACTATCTGATTATTGAATAAGTTTCAACACTGATCAGACAAAATCTATTAATAGTGGCCAGAAATGTTAATATGAAGCTTTTATAAGGTAGAAGATTGAAGAAGTTGCAAATGCAAGATTAATCGTATAAAAACATCCACTGATGCAAAAGCTAATTTCCAAATGATACATTGTGATAAGACAATCAGTTTTACAAAAAAAGTGTCTTATATGTTAACAAATGGCTTACATTTAAATTAATAAAGATAAAACAATTACCAGATAGTGATCTTAGTAAAATTAATTCATAAATATATAGATAGGTCAGAACAAAAAATAGTCCTTAACTCTTACTTTTGGTAGGAGTACTAGATGCTGACCATGACTGCTTGAGTTCAGTAAACTTGGTGGCAACCGAATTAGCTGCTGATTTCAAGCTGTCAAACATATCAGCATGTTTTGAGGTTAGTTTTGACAATCCAAAGGAAGACATGCTAACTGCAAATGGTCGACCAGGAGTCCTTGTTCCCACAACCTTAGGATTTCTTTTAGATTCTGGTGTATGTGGAAGCATTATTCTCACAGTTTCCATTTCCAGAGTGTTAGAATTTTTTGATGCTGAATCTGTGAGTGAATTTGTGGAAGACCTGTCTGCAGGACCATGAAATGTTGAGCTTCGAGTGACTTTACTATTTTTCTTACCACTACTGAATCCTAACGTTGAACTGAGACTAGATGCTACTCGAGGAATAGAACTTGTTTTGAAATAATCCCAGTTTAACCATGCCTCTTTTACAGTACCATGTTCTTCAGCTCCTTGCAGTATAATATCATCACTATTACAGGAATTTCTTTTATAACTACTATTTTCAGGATGAGAGTTCAACTTTCTTGAAGTACTCATATCACCTTCACATGTTTGAGCTTGTCTTTTAAATGCAATATCAGATTTAGAATGAGGTTTCATTTTAACAGGCTCTTCATTGAATTCTATAGCAAGTTCAGTGTCTGATTCTTCTTCACAACTACTAAGTTTTAAATTTCTAGATGATGTGATGGTTTTCTCAACAGAGGAATTAACACAATTCTCTGTAACAGGCAGTAGCGAATGCTCTTTGTGGTTCTCAGTGGATTTTAAATCTTTCAGAGATACGTGTCCATTCTTAATTTTTCGGATGATTTGAGTGTCATTGCCAAAACTGCTCAAGTGTAAGAATGTTTGAGAAGAGTCTGCTTTGCTTAAAGACTGAGTCAATGGGCAACTATAATGTTTCAGTCTGTAAGTTTGACTAGCTTTCCGCAGATGCCTTCCAGCACTTTGGTATTTCTGCTGTCCTTGTTCACCATTCTGTTGCCAAAGTAGATCCTCGTGAGATGGACTATTCACTAAAAGTAGATGACTTGTGATCAGAAGTCCAGCAAAACTGTCCACTAGATATGGAAATAAATTTTTTAACATGATTATAGCTTTTTTAGTTGAAGAATTATGATAAATAATGACTCTTTATCCAAAAATAAAGAACTAGCTATTTCATAAGGCTATCAAGTTAAGAAATTTAATGTTTCTATATCTACTACTGTACCTAATAAATGAGAAACAAAAATATACAAACATAAAAGAATAATATAATCATAAAAGCTTGAAAAATGGACAGATACACAACACTGTAAATGTTATTATTTCTATAAATAATTTTTCTTTCATCTATAAAAAAGCAAGAAATCTTATATTAATATTATAACAAATTAATTTTCTTTCTTTCTTTTTTTTTTACAAGAACCACAATAAACTTTTCAAGACAAATTTTATCTTTTGGTTAAAAAAAAAAGATTTTAAATCAGTCCTGAAAAGTGGTCCAGTTCATTGACCTGTACTCTAAGTTAACATCAGTAGCAAACTGTGAGAATTAAAACATTGTCAAAATATTTAATAAAGTCACAATATTTTCATTCCACAAAAAATAAGATTCATTTTTAAGCCAGCACAAATTAAATATCTCTTCAAATAAAATTTTAAAAAAAAGCATCTAAAATTGACTTGCAAGTGATGGCAGACACATTTGTGGACCGAAATATTTTACTACAAATATTTTGTTTATTTAAGAAAATGAAAAGTAAAACAAGCCTTTATTAGCAGAAAAGATATAAAATTCATAATCTAATCTGTCAATATACCTGTTCTTCATATTCTATTCAAAATTATATGGCAGGAATAAGGCAATCCAAAAAATATAAGGAATGTGTCAAAAACAAACAATCTGACCAAGAAGTGGAAACTACAATAATATTATATGATGATCTGACACAACACTCTAACTACAGGCTCAGTCAAATCAGCTCAGTTTGTGACCCCAGATTGACCTTTATAGTTTCCATACTATAACTTCTAATACGTTTTGTGTATCTCAAGGTTTCAGTAAGCATTAAAAGTCTTTTGTAGACAAACAATCTTGAATTTTTGATGAAGTACTTTCAATAAAAATTTCTTCATGAATATATGGAATCAAAGTGTTGAATGCTCCAAGTACAAGGTGAATTTCATGTTAAGATTAAATATACTTTTTTTCATCTGATAATTGTCAAATTTCATTTGCATAATCTCTAAAACTTCCTAAATAAATTCCAATCGTTTTTTTCCCCTAAAGCTTTACATTCAATCTGTTATTTTCTCTACCCTAACTTGATACGAGGTCAATGAATTTAACCCTAACTCGTAACTTCCCTAAAAAAATACAAAATAAATCTAAATTACTCTTTTTTTTTCTTTCTAAAATGACTTCAAATTGCAACTACATTTGTTTATTCTAAATAGCTTAAAACTTATAACAGTATACATCTGTTTCTATTTAAATTTTATTCTTTTATTGCCCTTTGAACCATGTCTAACTAATATTCGCACCATACAAGTTGTAAGTCATTTGATAAATGTGTAGCTTACATTACCCTATCGAATTAAGTAAAGCATAAGTACTCATGAGCTGCTTGTGAGCATATCTCATGAAAAATTTTTATTATCAATATTTTTCTGTATTTTAGCTAATCGAACCTTATATAACTTAAAAAGTTCATAATTTTTAAATTTTTGTTACTTTTATAATAATAAAGAATACACATGAAAAACAAGAAATAAATTACATATGTGGTTCTTCTTTTGTTTTTCTGTTGACTGTTTTTAAACATTGCCTTATAAAACTAAGGACTTAGAACTTGTATATTATTACTATTAACTACACTTAATGCCAAGTTTACTCATATAACATGATAATAAAGTAGTTTAATTAAATTTTGAATGTAACTTAGTAAAATTTCATGACATGCTAAAAAAAAGGATGCCTGTATGGAAAGAGTTAAGAAATTTGTTGTTCTAATTTGAGATTGATCAAGACATGCTTTACATCATCTGTATATTTTTTGTATTCAGGTATTTCTGATAAAACCTTTTAGTTCAGCATAGATATAACTACTGCCCCTGACTAGTTGCATTCAACAGCAATAATGAAAGGGGTCATTTAATCAAAATGTAATTTCACTGTTAGAATGAAAAACATTACCTACTTTTACTTCACAGCCATTTCTTTATATAAAATATGACCAATGAACTAAAAGTTTACGATACTGGCAATTTCCATTATAGCTTTGTCATTTCAACAGGGAAAACTTATGACATGACGCTGTATATTTGCTCTATTGCAATGAGGCCACCAAACAGTAATGAGATCTTAATCATTTCTCTATCACAATATGCTTGATGCTGAAACTTGCATTGTTTGTATTACTGGATATGTGACAACAATTCACTTTCAACCTAAGTGGTTTAATGCTTATCACAATGAGTAATTTAATGTACTGAATAAAGGCTACATTTCCTGTTTGTATATAATTTTAATATCTTTATTACAGTTTTCATCAAGTATTTTTTAACTTCTTTATTATTTGTGAAGTGAACCAAAAGTGAGTACTAAAATGATAAACAATAGCACTAAACCATTAGAATTTCATTTTCTTAAGAAATCACTTTGAAACAAGAACCTTTGATAAACATAAATAACTAACAGTTAAGAAAAAAAAACAGAGTGAATACCTACAAAAGTTGAACAAGAGAAATAATTTTAGAAATGTAGTAAACAGCACGAAGGAGCTATTTCCCAAAACATTTTTAGAGCATTAGACGTGCCGAACATTAATGGTGACACATTTTGTAACTTAATTTTGCAAGTTCAAATATATCAGATAACTAACCTGAAATATCCATCATTCTTGAGTGACTGCTTAAGCTACTGGCTGAGCTGCGCACAATACTCCCAACTCTGTTTCTAAATGCATCAGATGCTGAAAAGTCCAAGCATTCAAATTTGAGAGCTCCCAGAGACTGCATTTCCTGGTAACCTATGGATGAAAAAAAATTCTATGTTAAAACCAAAATCATTCATTGTAATACTTTATGCACGTGTCTTCATTAAAAACAAAGAAGATAACCATCATCAACTGTGTGAAGTGCCCCCCCCCAAAAAAAGGTAAATGGTGTTCAGATAGAATAACAATGTGGCCTGATAAATATATGCAAATAAAAAATACTGATTATATAAATGAAAACATTATCAACTGATGTGTGTGTCATAAAAAACAACAATAAAAATACACAATATATTTGCCATTTCAAAATTTTTTTAACCCTAAAATTGGGAGTTTTGAGATAAAATGATGAAAAGCACTAAAATTGCCTTTCAATGATAATCTAGAATTAGAGCTTTTAAACAATCAACTTTTGTGTTCATCAATACAGCTCTGGTAGAGAAATCTTTATTTAAGAATATTTTCTCCATCTATTCGTGTGAAGATTCTGGTGAAAGACCATTGCCTTTTACAAAGTAATTTATCAACAGAAGACCTGTTTTCAGTCCTAAATGAGTCAACCTATACTGGGAGAATGTCTAAAAGTGATGTTTATCCTAGTCTCAGTTGCAAGTGTAATGTTAGTAGGTGTGATGTTTGCATGAAATGTAAGTACTACAAGTATGCAGTTGAAGTTAAAGTAATCAGAAAGAAAGGCCTTCCAAAAACATTAGAATCCAATCAAATGAAGCCAAGAAATCTGTAAAGCAGAACGAACAGCAAGAATAAAATGTTTTACCTTCTCATAGCCACTTTCATTGTCTTAGATTATTCAGTGTTTGATAGACTTAGATATGAATGATCAGACCTCAACCAACAAAAGACACAAGAAATAGTTCAAGAACATTTACTGTTGTTTCTACTAAGTGCACAGTGCATTCTAAATGTCATGAACATTTTGAAACCCATTCTTAGAGTGCAAAATCAAGGTTAATATACAGGAGGTCCCAGAAGTCTGGACCCATAGGGAAATAGACATTATGTTCTTAAAGTTCAACAAACACATTTATAATGTCAGTTGTACATATTTCAGGAAAGAAAATACCATGATGGCACAGTATACAAAGAATTGCCATGTTTATGGCTGTTAATGGCATGCAATTTGAATAATAAATAAGTAATGAATAAATTGTGTATTCTTCCCTATGGGTCCAGAGTTCTTGGACACCCTGTAGAATGGCTCTCCCTGAGCAAAACTAACCTTGCTTTTGATGAACACCAAACAACATTTTGGGAGTTTCTTTGCATTTTTTTTCAAACAAGAAATTGAAACTTAAATATTCAATTCATAACTTTAGAGTTAAAAATTAATATATTTCCATCTGGTGACATATTGAGTGAGTCAGAAATCTACTGACATGCAATTCAGAAAAGGAGAGGTATAAGAAAATAACTGTTAGTTGTATGGAAGGAGCTGCCATGGGGCTACTCTGAGACAGAATCCTTGAGATCATTCAAGGTCAACTTTACCTTCAAAACTTTTATTAATATGCATCATACACCAAAATTGTTCACTGCAAAGATGTAGACAATAACAAATGAAACCAAATACTACCAAAATTAAAGATGTAGACAATAATAAATGAAACCAAATACTACCAAAATTAAAGATGTAGACAATAACAAATGAAACCAAATACTACCAAAATTAAAGGTGTAGACAATAACAAATGAAACCAAATACTACCAAAATTAAAGATGTAGACAATAACAAATGAAACCAAATACTACCAAAATTAAAGATGTAGACAATAACAAATGAAACCAAATACTACCAAAATTAAAGATGTAGACAATAACAAATGAAACCAAATACTACCAAAATTAAAGGTGTAGACAATAACAAATGAAACCAAACACTACCAAAATTAAAGGTGTAGACAATAACAAATGAAACCAAATACTACCAAAATTGCTTCAGAACAAAAACAATTATTGTCATAAATGTGGATGACATAAATAGATTAATAGTCTAATGAAATGGTAATAACAATCAAATACTGCATCCAAAGTGCTGCCCAAAAACAACGAATGCCATTGTGGCAGCTTCATTTAGTATGATCAGATTTCAATCTTTTGTAGCACAGCAGGTGCATGGAAGGGGTTCATCTATGTCTATAACTGTTGTTCTTGAGGAGCAAGTTTGGTAATTTTTAGCTTGAAATATTACACCTTTGTGCTTGACATTTCATATGATGCATATTAATAACATTTCTCAAGAAAATGACCTTAGTTATATTGTCATAAAGTAAGTCTAAATAAACCTCCTCATTCCATATCACTAAACCTATTTTTTTACCACTCCATTTCTAAATTATTTGCCTATCAATCCTCAATCACCCTAAATATATTTTTTTACCCTGTTTTCTCCGAAGGTTGGATTTAAGGAGATCAGAAGTTCTATTTTTTTCTTCAACATCACAAGTTGGTGCAAGCATTTGGGTTGACCCTGCTTTCTGAACCTCCTCTTGATTCATGGAGCTATAGCCTCCATCTGACAGCCCTCCTACTTAAAATACATATTACAACCAAAAATTCACAGCAAAGCAGCCACAACAAATACAAAGAAAACTAAACTATGATTAACTAGGATACATAGTACCAATATAATACTATCACACAAGAAACAAATGTAACAGAGTCCTGGTTCATCCATCCCCAAAACCTAGCAATAAATTTATATACAGGCACACAGAATTGTTCGTAGTTATATACTATCTATTAAAATCACATTAATAGCATACAAGTTCAATACAGATGTTCTGAATATCACACTTAAAGATTCATTTATTTGGAATGATATCTATATTATTTATTACAAACTAGATGCATACAAAATTGTATAATGTATCACGTACATTAAATACCAGAAGAGCAGGAAATCAGAGTTGCCCAGAACACAAAATAAAAGTAATTCATAAATACAAAACAATATAATTATAATACAAATAGTGCCTAAAATTAAGAAAAAACTAAATTCTTGCCTGAACTGCACTTGTCAGCCTGTCCTAGGTCTGATGTGAGTTCTATTTGGTTAGATTTGCCTTCCACAACTTCTTCAGTGTTGCTGTTCTCTGAGCTTGCTCGACTTAGCCAGTCATAGTCAAAATCAGATCCTAAAGACAGGGACCTTCGAACTTTTGCTTTTGAACCTTGACGAAACTGTGCTACACCTACAATGACATTCCTCAATTTGTTCCACATTAGTGCTGCATTTGTCTCAGAAGCAGGCCATTTACTCTCCAAAACAGCCTAGAATTTGTTAACAAATGAATATCTCACTCACAGTTCAAGAATCAAAACATGTTCAATAAAATAATGCAATTAATATTCTATAACAAAATCAAATAAACAAAGAAAAAACTTCAAATATAGCAAAATACATAATCATTTTTTCATCTATATAGCCTCATCAAATAAAGAATGTATATAATTTCTCAACTTTAGCTTTAGCAACTTCTTTTACGGATATAGCAAGTGCAACTGAAAATAATGGCATTAAGGGTGAGAGCTCATAGCCAAGTATCCCTACAGTATGCAAAGTGCAGTTTAAGAATGTCATATACACAAATTTTATTGGATGCCTTTACTGAACTTGGTAACAGTAGTGTTTAAATATACTTGTAGTCTTGCATGAATATTCATAGATAGTACAATTACTTCCCCTATATAATACAACAAATACTTCAAAACACATAACTTTATATTCTTATGTTCTGATTAGTTACTGAAAAAATTAACTAACATGAACTTCAATGAAACACAGTTTCATTAATTGATCCTTCATTCAAAAGGAGTGGGTTATCATTTTGAAATCTTCCAGTATTTGTTTTCTATTATGATTACTCCAAATGTATCCATTAATATACTGTGTGTGTGTGTGTGTGTATATCTCAGGTTGTCTACAAAGTAATAAAAAAACTTAGCATACTTTATTATAATATCCATAAGTAATGGCATTAGGTTGAACTCCATTTCTCTTCATTTCAGATAGCACTCTAACTGCTAAGATTGGCTGTCTATATAGTCCACACAGCAGCATCAGAACACGATAGCATGTCTGGAACAATAAATAACTTCTAAAACACAAGTAACTGTACTGATATTTTCAGTAAACAGATATGACTGAATACAAGAAATAAGTAGGTCATATAATATTCTTAGCAAAAATACTGTTTTTTAGTATATTTCAATAATTAGTCATTATCTTAGATCAATAAATCAATGTTCAAAGTTCTTTAGTAGCTTATATAACTCAAGAATATAGTAATATTATAACAGGGGTAAGAATACAAGTGTTACAAGCCCAATACACAAATACACTTAGGTGCATACCAAATGTGCCGACTTATTACTTAACAATTAGAAAAACCATTACACAGCCATAATTTAAAAACAAAAAATTATATATACTACAGTAATAGTACTATGAAACAACATAAGTCACAAATGAATATTTAAGAGTCCTGCATGATAAATCTGTACAGTGTGCATTTTAATAATTACAAATAAGTTACATACATCATACTAACAGTCTAAGAATTACATTGTATTAGAATTTAAAATACTGCATTTAACTAGAAACAAACCAACAAACCAAAGGACTTTCTCTCAACCATCACTTAAGCCTTCTTGGTTGCATAAAACTTCAGACCCAAATTAGATAAATGGCAAAAATGTAACTTTTGTGAATTGAACATAATATAAATACTTGTGAATATAAATGATTCATGGTGTAATACAATATATTTCAATGTGATGTAGGAAATTAAGGGTAATGTGTAGTAAGTTTCAGGTCAAATAAAACATTATGTAATGTAAGCAGTTTGTTATAAATTTTAATTTCAATTTACAGATGATTAACTACAGCTTATTTGAATGACTTATATATGCTAATACAGTTGTATATTGTTGCAGATTGTAGTTGTTGTGCAAATGGTGAAATGCTTAGCACCTGTATAACTAGTTTAAAGCAAAATTTTGACTGTTCAACAATGCAGCGTTGTCACAGGTAGACTTATGACTCAAGGAACATAAAAGTATTTTTTGGAAAGAAATATCCATATAGAGAAATTGTTAAACAATGTAGAGCTGAAAAACACTTTTCAAAGAAGTAAGTACTAAATGTTCTTCATGGAAGCACATAAAATGCACAGCAAGGTTGCCAAGTCCACAATAAATCTTATACTAGGTAATGCCCTCATCTGTAAAGTGAAGGCTATGGTTACCAAAGAGGAGGATTGGGGCAAGAGAAAGAGTGGAAATGGGGCAGAAGAAGAGGGACCTGGATGCCAATTAACAAAGCAGACGAAATTAGGGTTGTGCCAGCCAAAGGGGTCACCAACATGACTTGATAAGGAGTGTTGTGTATTAAGGTGAAGACACATGGGAGAATAGGAATAGGAGAACAGGCAAACAGAAAAAGGTGAGACCAGTCCTGGCTGAGAGTACTGATTGCCAGATCCAAATGATGAGGAACTTGGGACCCAAAGATGAGAAGTTTGGTGTTGAGAGTGGTGAAGGCATTCATGAGAGGCATACTCAACTGAGAGCAAAAAACCTTTGGCTGATAAAGCACTCCATGATTAGGCCCCTGTACAGGCTGGAGAGGTGATACAACATCAAGTTCAGAATCCCTGGCACATGACAAGCCATGAGACAAATCTGATGGGAATAAGCCCAAATAGCAGAGCCAGTGCATAGAAACAAAGGGTTCCCCTCTCCCAACAGTTGATATAAGAAATGATTGTGGAATTGTCGGAGTGGACCATGACCAACCAATTCACGAGAAAAGGGAATGTGTAAAAGAGTATCCAAAACATTGACTCTGGTCAACCATAGTCCAGGTGAAAAGAACCACTGAAGAGAAAAGAAACCCTCCATATGGACCCAAGAGATGACAAAAAAACAAAGAGATGACAAGAGATGACAAAAAAGCCAGATGCCAGTTTCCAGTCTTCTTGAGGACCACAAAAAGTCAAGAGGAATAACCAGGTGTAGAGGTAAACACTTTCTCAATGGTGTTCTTGGCCAAAAGATCTGAGACCACTTCTCAAGACCCTAAAAATAAAGGGGAATGGAGGGAGGAAGAATGAAAACAGAAATGAGGAATGAAAACAGAAAAAAGTGGAGAGAAATGAAGATCAAAGGCAGATGAAGAGAGAGAGTTTGGCACCCACAAGGACAGACCTGACATGGTAGTCACTGATGAGAGAAGATACAACCCTGACGTCAGGAAATAGAAGGCGGCCAGGAATGTGGGATGGGAAGAGGAGATGTGAATTCAATAGGCCAAGGAAGAGGAACAGATTGGCAAGGTTGAGAAAGACTAAAAACCCTAGTAGACAATGAGGATTGATGCTGGGCAGCCTTAAATTGGGTCTCTAGTGAGTCAATAATACTCCTGAAGATCTCTGGGCAATAAAATGGTGCCTAATGCAGGACACAGAGAGAAGTGAGATGGAAGCATACACTAAAAATGTGAGCACCCTGTCACAACAACCCCCAGCAACAGAGGAGTAAACTATGGTGAAATAAAGCAGAAGTAGTAGTATGGGCCAATGTGGTGAAAAGAAGTGAAGAAACCTCTCCAGAAGACACTCCCCTGGAGCATAATAAAGTTCCTCAAACAAAAGAGGTAATACAGGAAAATCTTAAAAAACAAGGATGAAGGCACAAAAATTGGGCACAACAAAGGGAAATAGAAGTTAAGAGGTCTACCCCCTTCTCCCCCCAGGAGGGTAAAATATATTCCAGAGGCTGGAAATCAAAGAACAGAAATGAACAACAACTGTAAGTCAGGACAAAAGAGTCGAAGCAGATAAGGAGAAGGATGAAACATGGTAGAATGGGTGTGATGTTGTTTGAGAAACAACTCTGCATAGACCCTAATGTCAGGTAAGAGAAAAAAATAAAGTAGTCTTGGGTATGAGTTTCATTAGTAATGTACGAGGGTAGGGATCAAAAGCCAAAGGGGAAAAAAACATACCAGTAAAATGATGTCAAGGATGAGAAAAGAAGGGTGAGAATTTTCCTCCACCAATAAATCTGTGCCTGGAACTCTGGTGGGGAGAAATAGCTAGTCAAATCATCATCATCCTATTCATGTTCAAACTTGGGCAAAGAAACGTTGGCCAAATGGACAGGAGGAGGACCAGTGTGCATGAAGAAACCCACAACATGTTGAATAACGGCTGTAATCTCCTCCACAGAAAATGAATCTTCAGTAACCACAATAGACACAGGTTCTGTATTAAAAAGACTGTAACTAACTGGAAGTTGCTATCATAATGGGTAAGTAGGAAAATTTGTTTTTCTTTTTATTTAACAATAACAGAAACCAGTGAAACTTAAACAAAATTTAAGTTCCATAAACTATTGTAAATCTCCCATAATTTATTAATAATTTTAAAAACATGTCCATTCCAGACAATGCTGATGAAAAGAATGAATCTATTTTGAGCACAAGTGCTTAGAAGGAGTTACTATACAAGGAGGTTGTGTTGCCCTCCTGTTGGTGAAGGGCTATCATCTCATGCCAATATCATCATGCACTAGTTAAACATGTGATTTTTTAGATGGGATTTAGCTTAAGGCTAGTGGCATGCATGTCTCATAGGCAGATGTGGAAAAGATCAAGCTATTTTGTGTGTAGAGGTGAGGTATTATCTCGGAATGAGATCTTATCATTCCTTTTATAGTGAATGCTGATAGATTAGAGCTACTAATAATATTTTTTTTATTCATCAAGATTCATCATTAAAGGAGGCTTTCCAATAAAGAAAAATACCATAGAGATGACACTGATAATCTGGCCAACAGCTAACTGTTTAGATGTCATGTTTTCAATATTTACAAGGCTAAGTATTGTAGATGTAGATTATATATACTGGCAAATACACAAACTAAAATCAGTGGAGAACATTCATTGTTTTGTTACTTAGTGAACAAGAAAATAAAAGGGAGGAAAATATCCATGCTAAGCTGTTCACCAGGTCTACATTTTGTAAAAAACAAAACAGAGACTACAAGATAATAGTACAGCCCTGAGAAAGGTTCTCTTTATCTCTTTCCATACAGGCACCCTTTTCTGTGCATGTCACAAGGTTTTACATCCAAAACAACATTTAAGTACCTTATTATCATGGTATACAAATAAATGTCACATCAAAATGTAGCTGATAATCCAAATTTTGATATTATATAAGGTTTAAGTTTTTAATCTTATAAGGCAATATTTAAAAAAAAACTCAATTTCCCCTAAAATTGTGACATTCTAAGGAAAAGGTCTTGCCTCTTCTCTAATTTATTCACCAACCCTCTGAGAAGTACAGAATTAAACATAAATAACTCATTATAATATTGTTAATACTCAGGCAAAGCATAATTTTTATAACCTTCAATCTTATTTGGTTACAGAGCCATAAACTAGAAAATTAGACCCCTCTTGCCACGCCCACCTTTCACATCCTTTGTTTCACAAGTTGTCAATAGTTCTCTTTGATGTTTAATGTTATATTATTTACAACAAATAGAAAGTACAAATTTTTAATCCATCAAGTTACTTATTATATTATGTTGTTTTCTATACAGAGGATTGTCTATGTTGTTTCCACAGGAAACACAATGACAGGCATAGTTAGAAAGCCAGAAGAATTATGATAGTTATTGAATATTATCTGCTTTTTATGTGTTCTTAGGTGCATTATTTAATATTAAAAAAATATTTAATGCAGTAATATCATCAATACAGAAAAGTAGGGTTACATTTCATCGACAATCAATAGCAAAAAAATATTTCATGTTTTCTGAAGTACAGAGGAATAAAAACTGAAATTTAAGACGATTATTATCACTGAGGCTATAGTTTTTAAACTTTTTTTTTATTTTAAGGTAGTGGGTCCCCAAATGTTTCAGTTTGTGGATCAACTAAATTTTTATTATATTTTTTATATTTTGATTGACCACAATGGGACCTATACACTATGCTACTACTTCCTATCTATGATTATTTAGCCATCCATGGACCACCTGAAGGAAACCCACAGATTAAAAACTGTTGTTTTTAGAGTAAAACCAAACAAAACATAAAATTTATAAATTTTAACTTAAATATACTAGCCTTAGCAAGCTACACCCAACTTAATCTTTAACCCTTTAACCCCTGGTACTCCTTTATACACTTCTCTGCACAATTCACCATGTTACATTCAAAATTTAATCAAACACCTTTACTATCAAACTTATGTGAATTAAATTAACATTATAATGTATCTTATCATTCAAAGTTTTTATGTTATCTAAGTTTTAAGTCCTTTATTTCAAAAAAAAACTCTTAAAAACTACTTAAAACTTCAGATGTATTGTCATGTGACCAAGGAGCTATGAAAATTCTCTACTTTGGCACTCTGTATCTTCATTAATACAATGGCAGTTGCATAGAAGTACATCTAGACTAAGATGAAAGTTTTGCTGAAAAGTTGTGCATATCTGCCAGAGACACCATAATATGCTTAAGGGCACTGTTGATTTGTGGCAAGGTGGTAAAGAACAAGAAAGAAAAATAAAACATTAAAATTTAACTATATGTGAAAAGGAAAAACCCAAAATAAAGAATCTAACAAAAAGAAAATCTCCAAAGATATTCAACAAAAAATTAAAAGGTATGTTGTCGTTTTTTTCTATTTCCTAATTTCAATTATTTCCTTGCATTGTATTAGGTCGTCAAGAAATTAATGTCACTTTTTGTAGATGAAAAAACCCAAACAACTTGTATATCAAAACAAAACATTTATTAAATGAAATAGTCTCCATTCTTATCGATGATGATTTTCCATCTTACAATCAGGTTGCTAATGCCCTGATTAAAGAAATCACTTGGCTTTGAAGCAAAAAACATGTCAATGTCCTCTTTAACACCTTTCATATTTGCATACGTTTTCCCATTAAGATGGGGTTGCAGCAAATGAAAAAGATGGTAATCTGATGGTACCATATCTGGAGAATATGGAGGGTGGGGGAGAACTTCCCAACTCAACTCCATAATCTTGTGTTGCTTCAAACGTGCCACATGTGGACGTGCATTGTCATGGAGAAGAAAAACACCTTTCTGATTGACAAGTGAAGGGTGTTTCTGATGAAGGGCTTGATTTCAACGTTCCAGTTACTAACTATAGATCTCTGCATTGACAGTTCGCTGTGGATTGAGGAGTTTGAAATGAATTACTCCTATGATGTCTCACCAAATGCAAAGCATCACTTTCTGCAAATGGAGTCCATGTTTTGGGGTCAAAAGTGGTTTTTGTCTAGGACTGAGTCATTGTTTTGGCATTTAATATTCCCATAGAGAATCAAAATTTCATCAACGATGACAATTCTGTCCAAAAATGGTTCATGCGCATTACACGCCAGAAA